ATATGGATACAAGCCTTAATCATAAAACTGTAACTCTATTATTTGAACTCTGAGCTCAAGTAAACAAACAAAATGGTAGATATTGTTTTATAATTAAAAAAAATATAGCTATAGAGTACATGGGCAAAAGTGTTATCAAGAAATTATGTTCAAGAAATGGTATTGCCGGGGCGCCTGGGTGGCTCAGTTGTTAAGCATCTGCCTTTGACTGAGGTCATGATCCCAGGGTCCTGGGATCGAGTCCCGCATCGGGCTCCCTGTTCAGCGGGAAGTCTGCTTCTCCCTCTCCCACTCCCCCTGCTTGTGTTCCCTCTCTCGTTGTGTCTCTCTCTCTCTGTCAAATAAATAAATAAATCTTAAAAAAAAAAGAAATGATATTGCCAAATCATTATAAGCAAAATATGTACATCTACTCATAGACCATATCTTGTCACAAGTGAAACAACTTCTTTCCCAGGAAAAGAAAATTCTCTTGTTTTTAGAATCAATTTTTCTGCCCTAACTTTATTCTCAGTTCAAAAACATATATTAGAGAGTGTTATTTGAAAATTGTGTCACCTCCCAAAAATGTGTTTAAATCCTAATTCTTGACACCTGAATGTGAACTTGTTTGCAAATAGGGTCTTTATAGATGTAATCAAGTTAAGATGAGGTCATACTGAATTATGGTGGGCTCTAATCTAATATGACTGTGTCCTTATAAAGAAGAGCCGAAGAGACAAAGAAACCCGGGGAGAAAACAATGTGATGAGGGAGGCCGAGATTGAAGTAATGAGTTTATAAACCAAAGAATGCCAAGGATTGCCAGGCAACACCAGAAGCTAAGAGAAAGGCATCTAACAGATTCTTCCTTAGAGCCTTCAAAAGAGCATGGCCCTGCAGACAACTTGATTTTGGACTGTTGGCTTCAAGAATTGTGAAAGAGTAATTCTTTAAAATTTGAGCCATCCAGTTCATGGTAATTTGTTACAGCACAACTAGTAAACTAATATAAAGACCCAAACTACTGTTTACTTTTATTTTTCTAGTGTAAATATTAGTTTCTCAGACTAAGCATCTGATCAATGTATACATAAAAGATACTTAAATTCTTTTTTTTTTTTTTTGAAGAAGAAAATTCTTCAAATCACTCTGCCTTGCCCATGGATTATTTCTCCAAATAATAGTGGTTGATACAAAGTTCAAATTTTACAACAGGCAGTGAGTCCATGAACACTCAAGTAAAATTACTTGCAAAATTTGGAATGTACATTCAAAGACTCAAAGGTTAACAATAATTTTTTTAACTACATTTTTAAACAGTGAATTTTTTTTAGGCTCTGTTTTTTTTATTTATTTAAATTTTGTTAGTTAACATACAGTGCAATATTGGTCTCTGGAGTAGAATTCAGTGATTTCATCACTTATATACGACAAGTGCCCTCTTTAATACCCATCCACCCATCTAGCCCATCCCCCACCCACCTCCCTCCAACAACCCTCAGTTTGTTCTCTGTCATTAAGACTCATTTATGAAAAAAAAAAAAGAGTCTCTTATGGCTTGGGGCGCCTGGGTGGCTCAGTCAGTTAAGCATCTGCCTTTGATTCAAGTCATGATCCCAGAGTCCTAGGATCAAGCCCCATGTCAGGCTCCCTGCTCAGTGGGGAGTCTGCTTCTTCTTCTCCCTCTGGCCCTCCCCCCATCTCAAATGAATAAAGTCTTTTTTTTTCTTTAAAAAAAGGAAAGAAAACAGTGAATATATGGAAAGGAGTAGAGGAAAAAAAAAGAGAGAGGGAAACAAGCCATAAGTGACATTTTTTTTTTTTAAGATTTTATTTATTTATTTGAGATAGAGAAAGCAGGAGTGAGGGGGAGGGGCAGAGGGAGAAGGAAAAGCGGACTCCCCGCTGAGCAGAGAGCCTGACATGCAGCTTGATCCTAGGACTCTGGGATCATGACCTGAATCAAAGGCAGATGCTTAACTGACTGAGCCAACCAGGTGCCCCCATCTGTTTTCTTTCTTAAACTCCACATATGAGTGAGATCAGATGGTATTTGTCTTCTCTGACTGACTTATTCCACTTAGCATAAGATACTCTAGTTCTATCACATTGGTGAAAATGGGAAGATTTCATTCTTTTTGATGGCTGAATAATATTCCTGTGTGTGTGTGTGTGTGTGTGTGTGTGTGTGTGTACACACACATATATATATATATACATATATATACCACAACTTCTTTATCCATTCATCAGTCGATGGACATTTGGGTTCTTTCCATAATTTGGCTACTGTTGATAATGCTGCTATCAACATCAGGGTGCATGTATCCCTTTGAATCTAAACAGTGATTTTTCTTATAAATTGCATTTTCACATGTTTCAACATAAACTGCTTGTCGGGAAAATTCAATGAATACAATTTAGTAGCAGTATGACAACAAAATGATGTAAAAGAAATTTGGCATGAGTATAATGGACAAATTCATTATTTCTTTTGTAAGAGTTGAGCTGGCCATTAGGAAACCTGTTTTCAATCATTTTACAAAAAGTAGAATAACTATATCACCTATTTATTGAATTATGATCTAGGCAAGTGCTAAATACCCACGATATTTACTTAAAAGATGTACAAATTGGGAGTCAAAGAGAACCAGTAATTTGTCTAGGGTCACAAAGCTGGTAGGTGTGGCAGAGTTGTGGTTGATCAGTTTTTGTTGTTTTTTTTTAAGATATTATTTATTTTTTGACAGAGAGAGAGACAGCGAGAGAGGGAACACAAGCAGGGGGAGCGGGAGAGGGAGAAGCAGACTCCCCGCTCAGCAGGGAGCCTGATGTGGGGCTTGATCCTAGGACCCCAGGACCATGACCTGAGCTGAAGGCAGACACTAAACAACTGAGCCACCCAGGCACCCCAACCACTGATTAGTCAGTCTTAATATGTTCTTTGAATTTGTGTTTTTATATAGCAGACTTGTAAGTCATACCTGGTATGTTCTAATTGCCTTTCAAAGTACTAAAAGTTTTTACAACCTTAGTATTCAAATAAGCCTTAAAATATGGGAAATAAATGAAATAGCACTTTTGATGAGAATTATAAGTATCTGTGGCTTATTAATGACATGGTCATAAACAGAATCAATTCAAAGAGAACAAAGGGCTAGTTCTTAATATAAGGTGGAAGAAATATAAATTAGAGCTATCTGACATAAGATACATTGCTGTGGTTAAAGAATAACTTAAGATCAAAATAGGATATGTGAATGAGTTAAAAAAGGAAATATTAGAGAACAAAATTTGATAAAATAGGTTGCTCATGGAGAAGCACTGTTTACAGAAACTATTTCTATTAATTTAGCAATGGTCAATTTTAAGTATTTCCCTTTTTAAAAAACTATTTATTTATTTTAGAAAGAGAAAGCACACGAGTGGGAGGAGGGGCAGAGGGAGAGGGAGAGAGAGAATCTCCAGCAGACTGCCCATTGAGCACAGAGCCCACCATGGGGCTCAATCCCATAATCCCAAGATCATGACCTGAGCGTAAATCAAGAGTCGGACACCCAACTAATTGAGCCACCCAGGCGCCCCATTAAAATTTTTCTTAAAATAGTGAAGTTAATTATATCAAACTAAGGAAAGATTTAAATCGAGATTAAAGTATAAGAAAACCTGTTTTAGAAACGATTACTAAAACTACGCAAAGGGTTATTAGAAAGAACTTCCTACTCCCGAGAGCTGTTATACTAGATTGGTTTGCTGAAGGAAGTAGTGGAAACTATTTCTTTAAAGATCCTTAGGAACAGAAGGCATACATTACCAGCAGCTCAGAAAGGGTTAGGTGTGTCTCTGTCAGAAGGCAGCCAGTGGATAACCACTCTTGGTTCTATAAAGCCCAGTGACTACACAATAATGCTATTCTTATAACAGGGAGGCAAGGGCAACACAGCTGCTTTTTCCTTTCTTTGGTGATCAGGATTTGCTTTCCAAAAAGTTCCAGAATAATTTGAATGTAATTAGATGAAATTTTCCCCAACAGAAAAGCAAGAATTAATTTTGACTCTAGTTACTGAAAAAAAACTCAGAAGCTCTACACTGGGCTTTTTAAACATTTATGTTCTCCTTTACTTGGAAAAGTGTTCCTCTATGTACAACTTAAAAAGCAGACTGGTTTGGTTTGCTAGATTACCTTAGGCTTATGAGTTGAATTAATACTAAACAAAAAATTGTGAGCACATCTACAGTTTCTTTGTTTGTATAAAATCCTTTGAAAAATTCAATTTTTGTGCATTCTACTTAAATTTTATGAGTTTATTTTTATTTCATCTTATATTCATCTACTTAAGTCTTTATATTTCATGAAGGTGGAGAAGGCAGATTCCTTATATTTATAATTTTTTTCTTTAAAATACAGTTAATTTCTTTCCAAGCAAACTTTCCCTTTAACTGGTAATGTAATTAATTTCAATTTTGAAGATGGCACTGTGGTCCACAATCCTTGGTTGACTGTTCTTCCAAGAGCAATAAGAGCTGCTGGAAAAGGAACTAAAAGTTCCATAAGTTCTTTTGATGCAGGATTCTTATAAAATATAAAGCTGTGAGGAATGTAAAGGGATTACTTCCTAAGATTTTGGAGCACTTCAGAATAGTTGTTAAAAATAAGTGAGAAAAAATGCTGGAATTAAACAAAAAAATTTCATAAATGGTGTGGATAATCCCAAAATAAACAAAAAATAATTCCAACTTCCCGAACTATTTAGTATTTGTATTTAGATGATTATGTGTCCAAGAAGGATACAAACGGCACTGTTTTCAAACATGGGTACTTAATTTCTGTTATTTAAATTTTTATTTTGTATTTAAGGATTTAATGCAGCTCTATATTATGAAATACAATATGCAAAAAGAGCTTAATGTAGCTTTTGACATGCAATAATGCTCAGGAAAAAAGAAAAGGAAGAGAGAAATAGCTATATTAGCTATGCTTAATATATAAAATTTCTATATTAAAGAACACTGTTTTTCTTCATTAAAATGCAAGCTAAAACTACCTGTTTCCACATACTTAACAACAGAAAACTCATAATATAAACATTTCATTGCTTGCCTCCAAAAAACTGTTGACATCCTCTGTGGCCATCTGCCAAGGTGGTCATTACTTTGTGTGTGATGGAATTAGAGAAGTATCAGGGTTCTATGGATTGATGAAAGAAAATATTCTGTGCTCTTGGCTTCTGGTATTTATTTCCTTGGTCCTGTTAAAAAGGAAAGAAGAGTGAACTTACCAAGTCTGAACGGATAGCCAGTTATTCTGTATTTCTTTAGATTCACATTTAAGGACATTTTGAGAGTTTTACGAGTTCTCATTAAGAATCATAGAATTTTAGCCTTACACACAAGACTTGCTAAATTCAAGAATGCAGTAAGAAAGAGCTATGTCAATCAGATGATTCGATTCCCACACTTTGCACTATAGGAAACTGAAATCCAGACAGGTTAAACAACTCAACCAAAGTTACTGTAGTGGCAGAGTTAGCATGAGAAAACAGTTCTTATTACTCCCAGTTCAAGGCTTTTTCATCTGGTTGTCTCTCAACAGGTACAAGAGAAGAATCTTTTTTTTTTTTTTTTTAAGATTTATATATTTTGAGAGAGAAAGAGAGAATGAGCAGAGGGAGAAAATCTTTCAAGCAGACCCTGCCAAGCAAGGAGCCCGACATGGAGCTCAATCCCACAACCCATGAGATCATGACCTGAGCCAAAACCAAGAGTTGAACGTTTAACCAACTGAGCCACCCAGGTGCCCCAAGAGAAGAATCTTTGGAGGAGGAAGGGAGACTGGGAAAAGCATTATCATGACCAAGCTAACTTCTCAGCCTTAATGCTGAGCGAAAATTCTAGAAACAAAAAACACAATAGTTTAATGGTATTTAGATTAATTCATAGCACAGGACTTGCTCAAATAAATATTTTATTAAAGTATGACTAAGATATTGTTTTATTAATAAAATAAAATTTCACCATTAAATTTCTGAATTTCACTCAGAGCCATGGTCATTTATTTTTCTAAATCCTTACTACTGTAACAATCTATCATCCACATAGCAAAAGAATGGTATTTTTATTAGAGTAACAGAGTGACATTTTTAAAAAGAAAATTGGATTTTAGACTGCCTTGCTCAAAACTCTCCAAAGATTTCCCATAGCAGTTAGGATAGGGTCTTACCCTATGTGACATGATTGGGCCTCTGTTTACCTGTCAGCCTATCTCACCACTTTTCCCTTGTTTGGTATTCTACAGCCTTAGTGGCCTTCTTGTTCTTCCTCAAATATGCTAGGCACACTTTTGGTTTATGTCTTTGACCTTGGTCTTCCCTCAGACTGGCACACTTTTCCCCAGATAGCCACATGTTTGTCCCAATAACTGAAACACTCTTTTCTTTTCCTTTGAGAGCTCCATTGCCTGTTTCAAGAATCTGCTCAAAAGTCACTTCCCAGAGAGGCCTTCTCTTACTATGTAGCCAAGCAACCTCCACTCTCAACCCCCATTCTTTATACCCATACCTGCTTCATTTTCATTCATAGTATTTATAATTTCTAAATGTTATATAGCCCAACACAATCCTTACAGTGACCAGATGTGTTTTGGAATTAAGTATTATTTGAGTTTTTAAAGGCAATATGGTACATGTGCTGTAATTATGTAACATGCTCCTCTTCCCTCTGTATCTGAGAGGTCTAGTAGGTTAATACATCTATAGGAAAACATATATTCATTCTAGGTGGAATTTTTTAAAAAGGCAATAAATAGCCTCATATCACTTTTACTACTAAACGAGGTAAGATTAGGTCAGGTTTTACCACGATATGAATTACAAACACTTTCAATTTCAGAGCTTTTTGATTTTGGAATTGCACAGAAGATATTATAGAATATCCTACCTATTGTTTGTGGAATATTCTACATATTAATTTGTTTATTGCCTGTCTCTCCTGTATGTTTGTGTCCATCACACGCAAAGGAATGAGCACTTGGTATGCTCACCAGACCAAGGATTATTTTTTTTTACTGTATGCCCAGTGCCTAACAGATAAGTATTCAATCAGTATTTGCTTCTGTAAGGACTCATTGTTTTTGCTTTTTACATTATAAGTAAATCCTACCCTATAATGTAGTTCCTCTCAATTGAAGGAATAGTAAGAAAGCATTTTAAAAACTTCTTAAAATTATTTCTTCTTTTAAGGTTCACTAAAAGAAAAAAACATGATAAATGGCATTTCAATAAAACTATAGGAAACAACACCTGGGCTGTATGATACAGTGAGCTAGAATTCCACAGATCTAGGTTTGCCCTTCTCTGCATTCTTGTTTTCTATTTAGTTCCTTATCTATCGGTCATCCATCCATCTTTATCCATCTAGCTCTTTCTCTTTCATTTGGATATCTTACCATTCTTGGCCCAATGCATTATCTGTAAAACAAGAGGACTGAACTCAGTGGTCTTTAGCAGTTCTGTGATTCCACTTAACAGTTAAATAATTGAGGTAGTAATCACTCTGACTATCCCAGAAGTTGGCTTACCAGTCTGAGAGACACATAATCTTGCTCATCTAATCATAGTAACAAAAAGAGACTAGTTTTAAATTAAATTTAGCATGTGTGTTCAACACCAACGAAATGACACATGTCCCAAATACGTATTTTATGTAACATATATACAACACTGAACTTTTGTGTGAGTTTCTGCATAAGAGTATGCCCAATAATAATAAATACTTATCGAGCATTTACTCTTTGCCAGGCACTATTTTAAGGTCTTTACGTATATTGAACTTACAATAATTCTATTAGATAAGTAGTAATTTTACCCACTGTGGTAGATTGGATCATGTCCTTTTTCCCTAGCACACCTCCATGGAAGGTCTATGGAAGAGGTATATATGTATATACCTCTGCTTTGTGACTTTGGGCCTAGATTTGCTTTGACCAACAGAGTAACAGAAGACATCATGCAAATAGCCTTGAAATATGCTTGTGCAGTTACACTTCTTCCCTTGTTATCTTGTTGTTGTTGTTTTTTTTAAGTAGGCTCCATGCCTTGTGCAGAGGCTAACATTGGGCTTGAACTCACAACCCTGACGTCAAGACCTGAGACCTAAGCTGAGATCAAGAGTCTGACGCTTAACTGACTGAGCCACCCAGGTGCCCCTCTTGCTTTTTAATCTGAGAAAAAAAAAATGCTTTAGTTAGCTCCAAGGAAAATGAGACATTTGGCTCAGACTTAGACCTTTCCTCCACTTGGAACCATGTCCACTTGAGGCCAGCCTGGATCATACCTATTTCAACTTACCCACAGACTCCTGAGCAAAAACTAGAAGCTTATTGTGGTATGCCAGTGAGATTTTATGGTTTGTACTACAGCGAAAGCTCACTGATAAACTTTTTACAGACAACAAAAAGGAAGGACAGACACTGTGTAATTTATCCAATCTTTCACAGTTAATTAAGTGATACGGGATATGAAGCCATGCAAGTCTGGCTCAAGGGCCACTCTCTTAACACCTATGCTATAATGCCACTACATTATACTGGCTGTATTATATGATATTAAGCCATTTATTAATATAGCAGCAGGTGGCTTGGCACAGATTAAAATTCATAATTATAAAGGTAGTCTAGCTATCAATAGACAAAGTTGTCTTACAGTGAAATGTTTCTTTTGGAAAAATTAGTAAGTAGAAAATAAATGTACTATTTCCTAGAAGCAGATTAATAAGACTAGATAGCTCTCCCTGCTAGCATACAGTAGCCCTTAGCACTGATATCTCTACTACACGATTCCACTATCTGACCCTGGCTGACTAATTCAGGCATGCATCTGTGATTCAAGCTGGATCAGGTGGGTTTCTCTTCTGGTATTTTGAAATTTGGACCCATCACTGGGAGCCACTGTTAATGGCCCCATACTGGAGAAAGCTGAAATCTCCAGAGCTACTCCTGTTACGTTCTTTCCCACCTGTCAATTCTATGATGGTATCTTCCCAGACAAATGTGCTTTTTGAGTAAGCTTACTAAAACCTATTTTTCTTGTTGCAACCAAAAGAAATTTAACAAAATAGATTTTTTAAAAAATCCATTGTTTTTATTATAATTTAGAAGTGCAAAGATTTCTTAAAGAAGAGACCTGGTAAAGCTTACATTTGTTTTACATTCTATCAAAGTAATTCTGCAATTTATAGTTATGGATTGTGTGTTTTCTGATAACTAGTTAGAAATCCTTCCATATTTTAAGAGCCAGCACCATGGACTGTTTGTGAATAGAACTACCTTTCAGGAAAGTTGAATAAAGTCAATTTTTCTTTGCAATCCTCTGTGCTTTATTTTATGCATTTAAAAACATTTTGTTTACAATGAGCTTTGTATATTCCTTTTGGTAACAAAAAGCAAATAAACATATGGGATTATTTTCATCACTAATTCAACCCAGAAACTGTATATGAGACCCAAATATATCCTAGACATTGTTTTGCGTCCTGTGGAAACGGCAAGTACAAAATAGTCTCTGCTCTCACAGAATAGTATGTGGAATATAATTTGAAAATTTCATAGTACTATTAGTAATTAACATGATAGATCTAAACAATAAAGAGATAAAAGTAGCTTAAAAGTGTGAGTATGGAGGCAAAATGCCTGAAGAAAATTTATGTGCAATCTTTAATCTATTCCTAGACTGAAGAGGGATATGTCAGCATAGGGAGCTCTGTCCGAAATCATATGTAAGAGTAAATAAAAAGTGCAACAACCACCACAGTGGCATATTTATGTGACACTTTTTACTTTACCAGTGATTTTCATATCTCAGTGATTTCATGTATTACAACATGACCTCTTAATACTTCCTTGAGATGAGCAAGTGAGAAAATGGCGCCTCAGAAGTTTGAGAAACCTGACCACTTAGAGTAGTGGTAGAACGAAGGCTACTGTCTGGTTTCCAAGTCTCCCAGTTTTATTTCCATTACATCACATTACATCATCTTTACAAAAGACAATTCGTTTCACAGCAGGCAGGGATGAGGATGTTTTTATTTACTTCTATGAGATACTTGTGGAGTGGGACTGAGAAGCAACATTATTGGAGTCACACAGAAGCTGCTGGTGACAAACTGAACATCTTTTGTCATCAGGCATATGCTCAAATTAGTAAGAACTCTGGGATGGTGTGACAGATTTGATAGTGGAAAAGTTTACGAGTTG